TTTTTAATCACATATTATCTAACATTTTTGCAAAATTAAACAACCAAACATATTAAATTATAAAAATGTATAAATAAATATATGTTTGATAATGTTTGTAATATTTTCAATGAATAAAATATATTAATAAAGGAATATTATTAATTATGAAATATAGGATAATTGATAATGTTTATGACCTGTATATTTATTTTTATTTATCCATAGTATGAAGAAGATCCGACAGTCGATCTACATGTATATTTATATAGAAATAATATTTAGTAATCACTTTTCATAAATGAAAAACAGTATTAGTAAACTAAAGTACAATTTTCCTATGAAGAAAATATCATTTTAATCGATCTTTTAGCAACAGCTGAAGATATTTCCTTTTACGGATTATTATTAATTTTATAGTAAGAATTATGTAGTATTATAGTATAATACTGATTATTTAAAATTTATTGTATATTAAAATGAGACTACAATATTACGACTATTGCAAGAATATTTGTGAAGCAAGAAAACTTTCTACTAACTTTATGTTCTTTTTACAAGTCTTAATTTTTCGTTTGAATTTGTCTTGGTTTTGTGCAACCTCTAAAAAGGTAATTATAAATTCAGAGCTAACAAATAGCAATTAAAATTTGTATGCTGGAATAGAATATTGATAGCCAGATTTTTATTCTTTATTTTATAGGCAGTTGATGAAAGTCTTCAACTTTTTATCTAGGTACCCATGAACTTTTCACAGTTTTCTAAAATTTATTATCTTTCCTATTGCAATTTTAATATATATTGAATTATATTTTTGAAGATAAAAAATTTCGTTATCTTAAGCTACAGTAAAATAGAAAAATAACTTATTTTTAAATGAGTGTATGATTAACATTAGTGGTATTATTAATATACAAACTATATTATTAATCAATATATTTTAATTTTCATTAAATATAAATAGATTGTATTATTATATCAATGATTAAACTTTTCTTTATATATATATATATATATATACATTTATGATAATGTAGTATTTTGATTGAAAATTATAAAAAAAACATTTATTTTAAATGTTTAACATACTCACAGTTAGATTTACATTCACAAAATTAGAATATTATATTTAAAATTTTATTTATACTTTGTTTGAATTTGTATGTTTACTTTTCGAATATAATAAAAAATACCTTTTTTTATTAATTTTATTAATCAAAATTATTAAATATTTTTACTGGATCTTAGAGTATTATAAGTTGATTGTAACATTACCAAAATTGCAAGAGAAGCTTGAACAAATCTATAATTTCAGTTATTTTATCAATTTCATTGTACAAGTTTTTATTGAGACATTTAAAAATATTATTTTATTTCATTTCATCGTTAATGGTTTTAATTTTCTTCAGAAAATTCAAATATAAATTATAGCAATAGATTAAACTTCTCTAATTTTAATTTTTTTGATAACTTTTCAATATATTAAATATTTTTTAATATTATTGTTTTTTTTATATCACATTTGTTATGCACTATCACGGATAAGATAGTAGTTTTACAGACTTTTCTAAGATATTTGTATCTTTATATAAATAACATATTAAATATATTAATATTTTGTAAATCTAAAATATTAGTTATAAAAGTTTTTTTATAACAGAAGCCAATTAAGATTTTGTGTAATGTACAATAATGTAAAAAAAAAAATTCAAAACATATTTTATTACTTGTTAAATAATGCACGTAAAGCATAGAATTACTAAAATGAAACAGAACAATGGATTTAGTTACTAACAAAGCCTTGAGGCAAATATAAATTACTTATTACCATTATTATTTGTGAAAAATACATACATATCAATAATTCCAATAATATGAACAACTATAACGATGATGATACTAATAATTATAAGTATATTTGTAAATATAAATTTAAATATAAATTATATTTTAAGTATTAGCTTTAAATTTAATGAAGTGATTTTTCTTGTTTTTTTTTTCATAAATATTTCTTCATGAAAATTAAAATTTTTTTTATGACATTTTCAATTAAAATAGTTATTATTAGTATAAAAATTATTTCACAAAAAGAAAAGAAAATAATATTTTATCAATTAAATCCAAAAGTTTAAATATACACTAACAAAATTAACCTAACTCTTTATGGAATATGTAATAATTAACTTTTTAAGCGCAATGAGAATATTTTTTTTATTGTGCTGATTTTATGTTGTTTTTTGCAAGGTCGACAAATTATTTGACGCACTAACCTCTGGAAAATCGCATAGTACAACAAGGGCACTAGCCGAGCAGCTCTCTTGCGTGTACTCCTAGTCAGTTGGAGTCTCCTCTCATATTAAATATGCTTATGCGTGTGAGTGATTTGCTACGCGCACTAAAAATTTTGTGCTTGCATTAAAACGCTCTTTATGTAGAAATAGAATGAACTTTTCTATTAAATGCGAAGTATGAATTATGCATTCACACGAATAGTGGAATTTTTTAAAATGTAAAATTAAAAAATGTCATTATTATTATTATATGATAATATCAAAGACAAGCAATTAAAACTAATAAAAAGCAAAAATTACATAAGAAAAATTTTATGGTGTGAACATATTTAAAGAAGAACAATATTTGAAGTCCTCTTACTTATATCATGGTTATATTATATAATATTGTCTAATTAATAAATACTTAATAGAATAGATAAATCAACGACATGACATTAATTTTATTTATGTAATGACCGAATTTACGAAAAATATAGGTTGACCAATTAAACTTTTGATCAAATTCAAATATTGGGCAATATTATATTCATTCTCAGATTAACAGAAAATTTTTTTTAACCATATATTATAATAAAAATTTGGATCTTTACAATTAAACACATATATAAGTTTATCTCGTAGTATGCAAACATAGAATAATTATAGAAAAATAAAATAATGATATTGATTCAGCTATTTAAATAATGATATAACATTAGAATAAATATATCGATTGAGTTATTGAAATAATTATATAACAATTGAATAATTATATTGATCCAATTAAGTATCTTATTATAACGAGGTTAATTCCATTTCGAATGACAAAATTTTTCGCTGGTTTAAGTAGTTCCAATTACTTTTATTATTTATGTCATTAAATATAATATGAATTTCTACATTTAACATCAGATAATTGCTGTAAACACTAGTTTTAAAAAGATTTTAATTTTAATGATAATAATGTATGTATTATTCTTCAACTGTATGATGAGGTAATATTTGCATATTTCTTAATTATCTATCTAATTCTTTACAAAAGTCAATTTAGATTATTTGATTAAAATAAATGGTGCAATTTTTTCCATCTTTTTTTGGTTTTTAATAGTTGAATGGAAATAATATGTTTAATCTATTATATTTAGAAATTTCTCTGATAGAATATAACTATTTTTTTACGTAAAAAAATTAGATCCAAATGTGTATGATCCAAATTAACTGTAAAAAAATGTAAAAAAATACATTTAATTGTTCTTAACGAACATACACTAATATTTAAATATATCAGATTGTGATTATGTAGTATAAGACATTGTAAACATATTTCTTTATCTACATAACAAATGAAAAATTGAAAATATTACATTATTATTTACACTGATCTATTAAATTTTACTAATCATAGTTATATAATGTAATATACGTATAATGTGCGTATTGTATTACTATTACGAAATTTTAGTATTCTATAATTTTTATGCTCTAAAAGTATTAGTGTTAAAAGATTTTACTTATATTAGGATTGAATATCATCGAATGCTCTATTTTTGAAAAGTAAATAATTTCCTTAATGCAAAGAAACGCAAATAATTTGTAAATAGCGAATATCAAGAAAATTTATTCCATAGATTTCTAAAGATGAATGTTTTCTAAAATATTCGTCATAACTTATGTTTTTATTATGTACACATTTTTTATGTATTAATACTTAAAATTAATATTTAATTAGGATGGTCGATTATTTTTTATTCATTCATGGTATAGTTATTCTTACGTGTGTGTTGTAAATTTAATAAATATTATACTTATTCTTTAAATAACGGAATCACATGATAATTAAATTTCTATCCAACTTTTCTATAATACTTGGTTACCTAAAATTGATGTAAAACTTTGTATTTACAATTATATAAACACATGATGTATACACTTGAGGGCATAAAGAGCGTTTTCACTATTTTGAATAACTCGAAGGTCTATTTCAACTGGATTAATTTGCGAGTTAATTAACTAAATAATTTTTGTTCAATCTTAAGTTAATAACTTTAGATAATTTATCATCTTACGCATTGATTTTTATTTACATAGATTATACGTGTAATGAAGCGGCATTAGAAAAAATTAAGTCATCTATATTTTTTATATACATAATTCTGTGAAATATATACGAGAAACCATCCATCGTTTAAAATAAATACTTATAGAAAGAGCCAAGCACTTTTCTCCAAGAAAAATTATAAGGTTGAAATTCGTTTTTTTCATAAAGTAATTAAATTTCATTAGCATTTATATTCTAATCGATTTTCCAAGCCATCTCTAAAGATATATTGATATGAAAAAAGAAAAAAACAATATTTTCTTGTCAGTAAACAGTTTGATAGCTTTATTTGCACTTACTCCATTGATTTTATAAAAAACACTAAAATTACTTTTTGCCTTTTCAGATTATCAATGTTCCTTTATTATTGCAGCTAGTAAGCGATAAAGATAAGGCCAATAATCTAAGTATTCTTTTTCTACATTCGATAATTATTAGGAATGAAATTTACAAAATCATGCAACTAGCCATTGCACACATTGTGTTATTTATGTTAAATTAAACTAATAGGATCGAAATGTTTCGTCTTTTCGAATATGAGTGGCTTCGCATACGTGTTTGTGGCATCAGATAGACATGGGACTGAATAAAATTTAAGCAATTGTTAATTGTGAAGTTGTTTGAAGATTGTCTTGTCGCAATTGTTTCAGTAATCATGTGCGCCAGCAGAGGGCTTTGGATAGCTACGTCGATGTCCAAGAAGATCTACGCATCGAGGGCGTGCTGGTCGAGATCGCGGGCAAACTCCACCACGATGACGAAGGCACGCCCGAAATACTTGCCGAGAGGAAAGCCGTGGTGCGACTATTTGGGGTCGGCATCACTAACAATACCATCATTGCCTTTACCGACCAAGAGGGCAAACGAGGCGACGTTTGCGATAAGATCAAGTCGGCCGAGTTTCCCGTGAGTTTTTCCTTTCGTCGATCGCATCAATGACATCTTACCTTCGATGAGTTATGCTCAATCCGATGGAATGCAGTGATCTTGGATTTTAATCGTGATAATCGGTGGGGGATTTTATCGATTCTTAGGCGTAAATAGATGAAAATATCCTGTTATTCATTTCCAGTCCAACTTCACCATTTCTGCGACAAGTAGTCTTTATAATGGATCTTCAACTTAAACTGTGTTATTTTAGGTAACGGAGCATCTGCGTATTATGACATAAATAATTCTTGCTTTAATTTATTACGAGCTGCTGAAAATAGACTTATACATTAATGACAAAATTTGTACAAAATTAAATAATGATTTTGACACAGTCCTTATAGGTAATTAACAAATCGATGAATCATAGTTATAAATTATACTTTGTTAGATTAATTTAAACTAGAAAAAAGGAATTCTTTTTAAAAATTTCTTCTTTTAATTTATAACGAAAAATTTAATAATGATATCTGCCATTTGCAGGTATAATTTATATAATGTCTTCTTAAATTAACTACTGATACATAAAAAAAAATATATATCCAATATATATAAAAAAATTAGAGAAATATAAGAAATATATCTGAAATATATGTGAATAATGCATTATAAAATTCTTCAAAAAATATTACCATATTTGCATTCACGTATTAACGGAGTCAGCCATATACAGAAAATTGTAATCAATGTATATAAATCACGTTCAAATTATTACAAACAGACATAAATTATATATGAATGAAACAGACGAATTATTATTTTATTACTTTTATTATAAAATAATCTAAAATATCAGGGTATTTGCTTTTATTTTTTATTTTTTTTATGATTGAATATTTTTATTTTATTTATTTTTTCAAATGCTCGAATTTACATATAGATACACTTCCATTTAATAGAATTACAATTCCAATTGTTATAATAACGTAAATTATATATAATTTATTTCGAAATATATTTTATTTGCGTTTTCTTACCATTAGTTTTATAATAAGTCTAAGGATTAATCTTGCCTTAAAAATTTCGGTAAATATTCCTCAAAGTACTGCTGTATTTAAAAATTAAAATCATAGAGGAGTAATTTTTTATTTATTATTTATCATTTTGTTTTATTGCTGTTATTGAATTTCGGATGTAGATGGCAGAAACATAAAAAAAGAAATTTTTTCTAAATCTTAAATACAAAGTTACTACAAATTACCGAATTGAATACACTCATTACTACTTTCGGAAAATAACATTAAAAAAATATATTTTAATTATTTTAAACTACTCCTATATATATATATATTTTTTTTTTAATTATAAATATAAAATCTTCCCCATTCATTAAATATATCATCCTTTTTAACTTTCTTATAATGTAATATTACTTGCTAATATTACTTACTATATATAGTTTAAAAATTTTTTATATCAATTCAAAATACGAAATTTCATTTTTGTGCAATTTACTATATATTCTATATATTCTATAGATTATACACTTATATTCCTTTTCTAATAATAAATATTATTCGTTAATAATTGTAAATTAATTTCACTTTAATTTATTTCATGTAGTAGAAATTATTATTAATTTACTTAATACTAAATAAATTAAATATAGTGTTAAAGAAAAAAAATGTGATAAAAGTTTTTATAGCTTTTAATTAAAATTAACTTGAATATTTTGGTCCGAGAACTTGTCAATATCTCATTACTGACGGTATTTTCACAAGGATAAATATACTTATCAAGTAACGATTTAATTTTTTATTATCACTTCTTATGATAAAAGTTGTAATATAAAAAGGTTATATCTCAAATGAAATTACAAGTTATATTTTATTATAAATAGAATTTTGAGTTAATCAATTAAAAATATTTTTCATTCACAATAATTATGCTCATTGCGATACTCAATTATTCTAATTCAATATATTAATTAAAACTGATATAGTTTTGTAGAAATATTTCTTGAATTTTACAAATCATCATTTACTGAATTATCTATTTTAGTAGTTTGCAGTTTAGTAGTTTAGTAGTTTACTACAATAATTTTCCATATTTCTTATATAAGAAGCATGTAAAATATTTAAAACTGCGTGCCAACAAGTTTTACTTTGTTATGTTATAGTCTATTTTAGTTTCGATAGATATTTTTTCTTTATTCCAAGTGGATTTATTATATTCATCGCTATGAAATATCGCTATGAAAATCAAATGATATAATTATATGTATTTATTTTTAGCATGAATTCTTAATTATGATCTTCACTGACTGAGCCAATTTCTTGTGTTAATATATGCTTCAATATTTTCTAACTTCTATTTTAATACTTGCGTATATGATTTTCTGTACATTTTAAAATAATTTTATCATATTAGCATAAACTCTAACACAACAAGATATAATTTTATTTCGTAGATATTTAATATTTTAAATACTTAATATTTTTTAATGTTTTTTTTATATAATTCTTGCATATATTATTTTAATATTTCGAGTATACGTATATCACATTTAATTATATTTTGCTTAATTATTAGAATCAATTGTTTCATTGACATGTCGACAGCCTTTTAAAATTCAATATTTTAATTTTAAGAATGTTCGTAGTTTCATTTTAGTTCTATGTATAGGTTCGTATTTGTATTATTGTGTAAAAATAGGAACTGTTAATATATGTTCATGATAAATTTTATTACTAAAATGAATATGACTAATTATAACTAATTATTAATATTATTAACAGTATATTCGAATAATTAAAAATTTTTTCAAATAGTTAAAATGCGTCATCGAAAACATAAGATTACATAGTTTTTTTTTAATTTATTTGTAAAATAGGGTTATAATGTGCTTACTTATAGTTTATCAACTTCTGGATTTATTTGACATAATTGCTGCTTCTTTTACGTAGAAAACTTCTATAAATTTTTCTTACGAATTATTTGCAGATTTTCTGAAGATTTCATAAAATTTAGCCTTGACATAAAAATTTACCTTACTATTTTCCGTAAAGATGTTTTTATCTGTATCAAAAGCATTTTGTCTACGTTACCTCATACTAAAAAATAATTTATGGTGAACCATCAAAGCACTTAATTAAAATTTACATTTTCATAAATAAATATATAATACACCTAGTAAAACTTTTCATTATAAAAAAAAAGATATGGATAGACTCGACAGTTCAAGAATTTGTTCTACTGTTTTAGAATTTTATTATGAGAACTTTATTAATAATAAAGTAATATTTTATTATTCTATATGGAATTTATAATTATTTTCTAATTATTACAAATAACTCTTAATAAAACAAGTTGTTCAAAATCTTGCGAAGTAAGGTCAATTGTCTTTAGCGTGTATGTTCTATTTAATTCTATGTAAGTATAAATTCAGTATGTGGTTGTGATAAAAGAAAATATTATGTCCATGATACAACTACTCTTACGAGTTCTTAAATCGGTATATTCAATAAATCCATTTATGTAGTTAATTAATTCGATTCTCACTATTTTCAATGATACTTGCAATGATAAAACAAGTTATTTAAATAATAAATTAGTTACTTAACATTTCTTTTCTGTTTTAATAGGTGCGTGACGTAGTACGACGAATTACAGCTGTTTCTGACATTGTCCTTCCTATGGGATCACCTTTCTTTATTTGTGCTAAACGCTTGAATGGCGATAATAATAACAAGTATGAATTGTTCAGACATCAAGGATCAGAGAGATATAAAGTTGTAAGTTTAAGACAAATAATTTTATTGCTATTCTAATTTAAATCTATATTTCATATGCTTGTTAAAGTATAACTTAAATGAAAAAGAAAAGCAAATTATTAACAATTAAAAATAAAAAGAGGAAAATCATAGAACGCGTAAATAAATATTTATTTTAGTAAAATAAAAAGTATAACAATTGTACTAATAATTAAAAAAAGTCCTTCCGCGTATTGCTTTTATTTTATTTTATCTTTTCTCAACGCGTTAGAAAATTACAGTTGGAATTCATTCTTGACTATTAAATACACATAAATAAATTATTTATATTTCAGATACACACATATAAAAGTATGCTTCCATTATGGCTGAGTATCGTGATAATCATAACGTGCTTGTCCTTTTCCGCTCTTTTCTCAGGTCTCAACTTAGGACTTATGGCTATTGATAGGACAGAATTGAAAATTCTTTGCAACACCGGTACTGAAAAAGTAAAGTCAATTTACAATTTAAAACAACTTTCTTTTTCTTTTTTTTTAATGTGCAAAATAATCTATTTATCAAGTATATAAATGTACAGGATTTATCAAATGTATATTATATACCTTCTGGTAATTATCTACAATTATATGATGAAGTCTGCATTTCCCATATTTTTACATTTACATTTGTTAAATCTTATATAGGAATATATTATCTATTAATCTTATCTATAATTATACAAAGGTTTTGTCTAATAATTGGATATTTTTTCTTTATTAATTTATTGATTTGTATAATGATATTATTACATATTTTAGGAAAAACGTTACGCTCGAACAATTCAACCAGTACGAAATCATGGAAATTATTTATTATGTTCGATTTTGTTCTCTAATGTGCTCGTGAACTCTATTTTTACCATTATCTTAGAAGAGTTGACGTCTGGTTTCGTTGCAGTATTTTGCTCGACTCTGGCTATCGTCATCATTGGCGAAATTTCACCGCAAGTGAGACTGCGTTATAATATTATATGCATTAAAATATTAACAATATTTCATGTTATTCTTATTTAAAATTTTAAAGATATTTTTCATTGTACAATAAAATTGTATATATATATATATATATATACATATATATATATTTATTTATTTATTTATTTATATAGATACGTTTTCTGCGTATCATAAATATTTCTGTAATATATCTTTTGTATTATTTATTGTTACTTCTTTAGTTATTTTTAAAAGTTATATTTATTAATACTGTGATTCCATATAACTCGTTACTATATTGGCAATTAATTCTATTATAATTTATTCATTAATAATGACATTTATACTTATTAAGAGACAAGTTATTGCTAGTCATATGTACAATTTCTATGTATTAAACAGTTGTACTAATTACAATAAAGTATCATAATAATTACCTTAATTGAACCTTACGAATTTTCAGGCTATTTGTAGTCGACATGGTTTGTGCGTTGGCGCTAAGACCATTTACATTACAAAAATGACGATGTTAATCACGTTTCCACTCAGTTATCCAATAAGCAAGATGTTAGATTTCTTACTCGGAGAAGAAATTGGCAACGTTTATAACAGAGAACGTTTGAAAGAACTTGTTAAGGTAAATCAAAGCTAAATAACGTTATCGTTCGTTGCCATTTTTGACAGTCCCCCTGTAATTCTCTAATAAGTAAATGAAATTCCTTTATTATCTTTTGCGTGTAATGTGCTGTATAGATTATACATATTTTCAATTATAGTTTTACCATGTAGATGGCAATACATTTTTCAATAAGGGATTTTAATCGTTAATTTGATATTTAAACAATTATTATTAATCTATAACTACGGGAGGTACTGATAAGTTCTTCTAAAGACAAACAGGATAAAATTTCAATAAATGAACGTAATTAATGGTGTACAAATTCATATGTATGTACTATAAATGACATGTTTAAATTATATACATGCCTTTGGATATGTTAATTAAACATTAAGAAAATAGTTTTTATAATTATATATATATATATATATATATTTATAATGTGCTATTAATGTATAGTAATTTAAAAATACTTAAATGATTATAATATTTTAATTTTCACGATTATTTTTAAAGGTTCTTGAATAATATCCTAATATTAATTCAGAAAAAGACATAATAAATCCAAACATTTTATAACGAACGATTTTATACAAGACATTAAATACAATTATTAACAATCGATTTTAATTCGGTTGGAAAGATTTATCCAAAAAAATTATTTGTTTATGTCTTAAAATGAATTATATTATTACTTATAACTAATTAAATTAGTATATAATTATTTGATTTAATTATTGGTTTATTCTTTAATATTTTAAAGTGTTAGGTTTTTTGAAGTGTTATGTGTTTTTTGATGAAATTTTAATGAACTTGTGTGAATTTTCTCGTTGCACACCTAGGAATACCTTTCCGTATAAACAAATATTTAATACAATTAAGAGCGAATATATATATATATATATATATATATATATATATAT